CCACCTGCTCTGAAAGGTTGCTTTCGTTCAGGCCATTGAGCTCCAGGGTTTTGGACCTCTGCGACCAAATCTGTGAGGGCGCCAACCCACACCCAACAAAAAGAAATATTACTGCAGCCAAGCCACCGGGTCATGAAGCCTTTCACAAACTCATTCGCTTCCTCGTGTTGAACCTCCGTGTTCTTCGTCAGCTCGTTGGCCCAGTCCAAGCAGTGCATGCCACTCTGCACAAGCTTCTCCAAGATCTTGCTCTTGCCACTCACGTCTGCTGCCTTGTAGTCGCTGAGGATCTTCGCTGCTGCTGCTCTGTGCTCGGGGGTGGCTTTCTTGGCCTTGCACTGGTAGGACAGCGAGGTCAGCAGTCCCGACAGCTGGCCTCTCTCCATGCCGATCTTGCCCACTGCTTCTGTTGGCTCGGTCTTCACTGCTTGCGACTTGGGTGTGGGCGCCTTGGCCGTCCCCTTGGCAGCGGTCTTGGGCTCCTTCTTCACTGCTTTTGCAGCAAACTTGCCCTTGGAGGTCGCAGGCTTAGCCGTCTTAGCCATTGCAAGCAAGCGAGTTCTTCTAAAGTGGAGCACGAGGGAACCGGTACCTTTGAGCACTCTGGGCACTGATGGGCATTGTCGGCCAGAGTATGTCTGGGCTTTCAAGGAGTGGCCTCCTTGTGTCGCAGGAGGCCACTCCTACACCCCCATACTGAGGAAAAAAAGAAAGATAGAGAAAGAGCACCAGACACAGAGAGAGAGAGAGAAAGTTTGTATACATGTTTCCACGTATACGTCTATACAGTTGTACACGTACATATATATATATATATACATATATACAGATATACAGATATGTATGCATACACATGTATATTTCTGTGTATGTCTATTTTGGGTTATTTATCGGTTTATATTTATATATGCTATCTGCAAATATATAGATATGTATATATATATACATCAATATATATATATATATATGTATTTATGTATACACATATGATATATATATATATATATATATGCATACATAAACACACCGGGGGGGGGGGTGTGTAGGGTGTCGGGTTTAGGGTCCTAGGGTCCTGAACCTTAAACCCCAGACCCTAAACCTTAAACCTTAAAGCTTAAACACCAGACCCCTAAACCTTAAACCTTAAACCCTAAATCTTAAACCCCTAACCCTAAACCCTGAACCTTAAACCTTAAACCTTAAACCCGACACCCTAAACTCCAAACCCTGAACCCTAAATCCTAAGCCCTAAACTCTGAACCCTAAAGCCTGACCCTAAACCCGAAACCCTAGACCCTAAGCACTAACCCCTAAACCCGAAACCCTGAGCCCAAGCCCTTGAACCCAAACCCTGAACCTTAAACCCCAGACCCTAAACCTTAAACCTTAAAGCTTAAACACCAGACCCCCAAACGTTAAACCTTAAACCCTAAACCCTAAATCTTAAACCCCTAACCCTAAACCCTAAACCTTAAACCTTAAACCCGACACCCTAAACTCCAAACCCTGAACCCTAAATCCTAAGCCCTAAACTCTGAACCCTAAACCCTGACCCTAAACCCGAATCTAGACCCTAAGCACTAACCCTAAACCCGAAACCCTGAGCCCAAACCCTTCAACCCAAACCCTGGACCCTAAAGCCTAAGCAGAAAACCCCAAACCCTGAAGTCTAAACCCTAAGGCCTAAACCCTTAACCCCGAACCCTAAACCCTTAACCCTAACCCCTAAGGCCTAAACCCGGCAACAGGAACCCGAGACCCCAAACCCTGAGGCCTCAAGCCTTAACCCTAAACCCTAAACCCTAGACCCTAGGGTCTACCCTAAAGACTAAACCCTAAACCATAAGGCCCATACCCGAAAGCCTGAAGAGTGCCACTGTCGACGAAACCCGTTCAAAAAACGTTAAAATTTTTAACTTTTTTTAGCATAATATTTAACAACCTTTTCCTTTAGTTTCCCTTCTAAATCAATGTTAAAAATTGTCAAAAAAACGTTAAAAATTTTAACGTTTTTTGAACGGGTTCCCTCGGCAGTGGCACTCGAACGAAATCCAGACACACTATTCTTTTTGCGCGCTCCACCTCGGTGCATGCTGCCTGATCGATCAGCTCCGGAAGATGCTGCTAAGCCTGGATCACACGTGAAATGTCACGAACTGACACAAGCTGCAGAAGTCTTGACACAATCTTTGTACTTGCTTGGCTTGCATGACAAGCAGCTCTCAACTGGTGCACCGACGAGGCTCAATCTGTCTTCTGCTTCCTCCAAAAACAAGACACGGACAAACCCTAAACCCTAAACCCTAACCCCTAAACCCTCAACCCTCAACCCTAAACCCTAAACCCTAAACCCCAAACCCTAAACCCTAAACCCTAAACCCTAAACCCTAAACCCTGAACCCCAAACCCTAAACCCTAAACCCTAAGTTTATGCAATGCACTGCAGAGCATGGCTTCCACTGTAGTCCTGGGATCATGGGCATCGGCTTGGTCACCATGGCCTGCCAAAACCAAAAAAAAAGGAGTGCTCCTCCTCAATAGGAGAAGCCCTCCTGCAACTGAATTCAAAAGCATAAGTAGTGCAGCTGGGCCTGCTGCCTCCTCGGGAGCTGGTGGACCACTGGCCTGACCGAGAGGCTGCATGGATAACAAACCCGAAACAAAATCATCCCCTTCACAAAAACAAATTGCCTCGGGACCCTCATCATCCACGGCAACCGGCTGGCTGTCCCCAAGCCCTGCCGGGGAGTGGCTTGCTTGTTTGGCAGCACACAAGCAACAGGACCTCAACTATTGCTGCCCAAGGAGCATTCCGAGGCTGGCTTCGTCTTGGCAATCTTACTGGGGGGACCGGTCTCCTCATGAGCAGACAAGGGCCAAGGGCAAAAGCTTCGAACGAAGTAAGAAGGAGGCCTCCTGTGCGAACAATTCTGCATGTATCCTCGTCCGGCTCGCCATCCACTTTGGTCCAGCTCTGATAGCTCCGCATGGAGGCTGGCGACCCGTCCCTCCTCTTCTCTGCTGCTTCGCAGCTCCTGCCCCTCTTCTCTCGAGGCGCCTCGTGTGAGAGAGCACACAAAGCACATGCATGTCTCCATGCAGACGCAAGAACAGTGTAGCCACACAGTGCAGCCCAGTAGCCGGTGGAGGGTTCTTCGGGATAACCAGGGGCCTGGCCTTGGGCTTCGGGTGCTGCTGGGCCTTGGCTTCGCGGGAACAAAGAAAACACAAGCAACACAGGAAACTCTGAAAGTCTTTCTGCCGGAAAGGCACCGCTTCGGCTTGCTCTTGGCCCTCTTGGCCTGGATCTTCTTCCTCTTCATCACTCGGTGGCTGAAACTCCGGCTCGCCGGCATCCTTCCACCTTGGCCCACCACACCTTTCGCTGCTTGCCCCTGTTCTTCTTCTTCTTCTTCGCCAAGGTGAGCTCAATGTAGTTGGCAAAGTCCTTCAGGTCCCACCGGCCTCCACTGCCCTTGCTGTAGGGATCCCAGAGGTTCTCTCGGTTGGCCGAGTAGATGTAGAGCTCACCTTAGCGAGGAGACCCTCCTATACAGGAGAACCTCCCAAAAGCTGCAAGGCTCAACTTGAAGGAGACCCTCCTAGAGTGAAGGAGAGCCTCCTGAAATCTGGATGCTGACACGTTGCACTTTGTGTTTAGGCAGCCACCCTCCCGCACATAGGACCAGTTGCGCTTGCATTTCTTGCACTTTCTCACATCGATGCCGGACATGTCATTGGGGTCCTCGTCCCACGGGTCGTCGTCCTTCTTCCACCACTGGGAGCCTTCACCCTTCTTGTCGTGGCCACCATCCTTCCAGCTGGAGGCCCACCCCTCAGCGACAGGACTGCAGAGAACCCTGCGCAACAATCTGAGCACACAAAATGCAGCCAAAACTAATGCAGCCAAGCGACACCAGAACCAGAACCTGACTGATGATGCCAAGACATCCCTGCTTGTGGCAGACAGAGGTCTGGGGCTGCACTGAAGGCTTTAGCTTGGGCCGAGAAGCTGGCTGGCAGGCAAAGAAGCTCAAACAACAAGTCTCACATGCACTGCACCTCGCAGCATCTCCTCCTACTCTGCATGCACTGCACACTCTCATGAGTCACTCCAGCAAGCAGATCTGTCACAGAACCTCTTAAATGAAAACATGTTAAGCAAACGGAAAACAAATCTGAAATTTCGTATCTACCTAAAAGTATTTGCCAATCCTCCACACAAATCAATCTGCCAAGATGCAGCTGAGCTCGAGCCTTTAAAATTGTGCAGGCAGAACAGGACGGCATGTAGACCTATTGTTCTTTTCTACAAATATGTACACACACACACACATCTCCTTGGATCTGCTCCATGCATCGATCTGGATCGATCATTCACTTGCATGCCAGACGGTGTCTTTATGAAACATATTGGGAAAGAAAAGCCCTTATTTAACACGTGTGAGAAAACCCTTTAATTAAGCAAATAGCCCTTAAATTAGATTTACGCATAATCCCTTAACCATGATTTAAAGACTTTTGGAGTCTCTGGGCGTGGTGCGCAGCAGGAGCGAGGCAAGCGCTGATGCGGCGTTGGACGGCGCTGGCATCTTTCGCCGCCCTGCGCGCGCATGCCTGCTCGCTTCTCGAGCTGCCCATCGTGGGGCCTCGTGACCCGACTGACGGCCACGAGGTTCCGCTCGGGGAGCTTCTGGCAGGCCACTTGCCACCCGAGCCCAGCAGGCTGTGAGGGCATCCCCGTCTACGCCGACACCAGGACACCTGACTGCGTGTGGAAAAAGGAGTCTGAAAAAAAAAAGAAGATGAACCCTGTAAATCCCAAACCTTCTAACCCCCAATGCAGCAGCTGCAACAAGAAGTGTTTCTAGATGCTAGTGGATGTGCTGGTAACACATGGATTTCCCGTGAAATGCACGCGAAATGTGCAAAATTCACAGGGCAATCCGCGCGCGCTTGCCACTGCGCTGGCATTTTCCTTGCTTGCCGTCCATGCATCCATGTCCATCGCCAGCTGCTGCATGAGCACCAGCTGGACACTCCCCGCCACAGGTTTGGAAGTCGTGAGGTACTGTAGATTTCAAGCCGAGCCACGTCCATGTTTGCATTGATCCTTCAACATATCGGCGGCACCTGGGCGCACATTGGAGGGTTTTGGTCAGCATCCCAAACTCCCCTGCCGTTTCAGGAAGAAGGCTTCTCTCACAGTTTCTTTATTACAGGAGAGTTGAGATGCAACCCAGATGCCAAGCGCCATATGCTCCATCCAGCTCGGAAGGCAGCTCCCGAAGGAGTTGGTGGATGACGAGAAGTCGCACACCACTTGTCATACTCCTCCAGCTGCGCGCTTGCAACCGCTTGCACCAACTGCACGTATTCTCAAAACCCGAGCCATCAGACCCAACATGACCCAGCTTCGTGCAAGCAAAAATGAGCACAGCACTGGCAGAGACTGAAGCACGCCCATCTTGCAAGGAGAGCTTGAATGTTTTTTTGTTTAGTGCCAGGCCTGACCATCACGTTAGCTGCAAAGCGACTGGCCTGGGTATGGTCCCTGTGGCAGCGCGGAACGTGGGGGACGCGGAGGATGCGAACAGGACGCGATGGCGGAAAGGTTTCTTCAAAACAAAAACATCACCCGCCCTCTCGCAAGCATTATCGCTTCAACCCCCCCCTCATGATTGCTCCAGCCTTGAGGGCATGGCTGCTCATACCCCCCCTTTGCAAATTCCAGGCAATTCCAGGGGAGCGAACTGAATGATGCCGACTGCATATCGCTGCATGCCCCTGCGGCTGCAAGATGCTATTGTGCCGGACCCACCATGCTACTCAGAGGTTTACTTCGATCCTGCTTCTGTGTGTTCCCTGTGTGGGAGCTCGAAGTGCGACCGTGCGCCGGGCGGAGGTGCGCCGGCACGGTGGCGGCCCGCTGACGGGCGAGAAGGCGCAGCAACAAAGCGGCCGCCGACCTCAACGCCGACGACGACGAGGCGGGAGCGGCGCGCTCGCATGAGCTCAGGGTAGCTATCGCGCCGCTTGCGCCTGGCGGCATTGTCAACGGCCCGTCCGGGCTGCGTGTCAGCATGCGGGTGTGGGTGGCCGGAGCTCCGGCCTCACGTGCTCCGGCCTCACGGCACACCCTCGCGACGGCCCATTCGAGTGGCAGCGCCCGCGTCGCGAGCACTCCCGAGGTAGCGCACGCGCTCCGGTGGTCTCCCAAAACGTCCAGCCCCCTACCCCACGGCATCGGGAGTTCCAGACGCCTCTCGGCAAATAGCAAGGCGATCACAATCGACAATTAGTAATTGATGCGTTACAACAATATAAATTATTTAAATATAATTTTCAAAACATCATTACGATATCCGATATCCATGACCGAGATGCAACATAAATAACATAAAAGCAAAGCAAAACACCAATTCAAAAAACAAAAAAAATATATGCTTAACAAGACTCTTAAGCACATTTTATAATAAAATCACAAGCCGCTTGGCAACAAAATCCGTAAAGCACAACCCCAGTGAAATAATCCTTGTACAGGGCTTTTCCGGACCACGTATTGAACATTGATCCCAAGATCCAAAATTAGCACAGAGAAGTTTGCAGGCAAGAAGTTCGGAGGCAATCTTGGATCCCCGCAGGATCCCGTTTTCATCATTCTGAAAAAGATTCAAAATTCAGGATCCGAGATCCAAGATCCAACATGTGCTCATGTCAGAGTGGTCCCCCCCCCCCCCTTGTAAAAGATCGGAATTGATACGGGTACCTTTTTTTTTTTTGGGGGGGCCGGGACGTGGGGGGAGACGCTCGTATGTCCTGGGCTGTCACGGGTACCATTCTGACTGGCCTAGACCGATGCGGAGCGTAAACAATGTAGATAGACACATTTCTGAACTCAGGTCGCGAGGGGCAGGTGGATGGGCAAGCAGGTAGCCCAACAGAGTAGCAACACATTTGTTGATCGGAACCAGCACATCTGCAATGCGAAGGGCTCAAGCAGGCTGGGTTTTGCTATGTTTTGCGGTCCCGTATCCAGCCCGTCGCACATGCTGGAGAAGGCATTATTTGTGTAAAGGGTTCTTTGGAGTAGAAGGTCACAGCGGGACCAGCTCAACTAAAACCTGTTTAGGATATCAGATGATATCAGGCTTTTCGGCACTTTGAGCAGATTGGCAGCACTGCCATGTCCCGACGGAGCAGCAGGAAGCAGGCCAGCGCTTCACTGGGCAAGCCCTTTTGAAGAGATGTTGGCTTAGACAAAGTGATATCCAAGGGATCGCAAACGCCAATGGGGTTTGTGCATATCCTGACGTTGGCCGTTAGCAACACCTCGGACCCACAGGATGATAGGATGATGCAAGAATCGCTTCGCTTCTCTGAGGCAGACACCTCTGCCTCTGCGCGGGAGCCCGCTGGGCCGTCTGAGCCCGATCAGCGAGCAATTTTGCGCGTGTGATATGATAAGCTATGCAGTCTTTGTGGATGCTGTATGCACATTCTGTGTTGCAGATACGGACGCCACACGCCCTAACTATGCAGGATTTTGTCTATCAGCTGGGAACCTGAACCTCAAACCTTGCACTTCCATGCCGAGTGGTTCGTCCAGCTATGTGGGTGCCCAAAAACATGTTCCTTCCACCGCCAACCCCAAATCAGTCTTTGAATCCGAAGCCCCACCAAGCCTCACCCATGAAACGCCATAAGCCCCATAAACCCTGCAAACCCTAGACTCCTTAGACTCTATAAAGGCTATGTGAAAGGCTCTTTGCCCTGTAAACAAAAAACCGCCTAAACCAACCCCTTTAAATCTTTAAGCCCCAAACCATGATCCACGGATGGGCTTTGGGGCCTCACGTCTCCGAGTCAGTCCGCTCTGGCTCCATAGGTTTTGGGGTTCATAAGGTTTTCAGGGTTTAGGGTTTATGAGCACACAGGCCAAGCACAAATGCAAAAGGAAGGCTCATAAGAGCTTTTAGGTTTCTGAATTGCGGGTCCCCTTTGGAGGTTCGTGAGCTATTTTATGGCTAAACATATTGGGTAAGGGTGGGTTGAACGTGGCTGCAACAGATGCATCAAGGATCACCAATGTCACCCAGGCAAAGTGCCTGCACTCCGAGATTTTCCTTTCCATCCGCAGCAACGACCATCAAAGCCTTTTCGTCCTTGTTCCTTTACCGAAAACTAGTTTGTTTCGGCATCAGGATTGCCCAGCCATGTTTGGACTCGCAATCCTCAGCAAGGGCGAGCCTGAGCGAGTCCAACCGTGGCTGGATGTCACCAACAAGCTGCAGGCCAGATCGGGGGCCACTCATACATGCGGCTGAAACCTTATAACTCTATATAAGAGCCCACGAAGAATCTTGACCTCAAATGTCGACAAGTAGCCCACAAGGCTTCCGAAACGACTCAAGCCGCCACAGGGGTAAAAGGGCCTGTTTGGTGCTCCATTGCATGCGCCTTGGTGACCGTTTGTAGTGTGTTTGTTCGGGCTTCCAAGACCTGAGCCCTGGCTGCCAGGAAATTGGGGCTTGTTCCTGGCTGGCGGGTTAGCCTTGCTACGTAATTCGGGCCGAAGCCTCCAACTGAAGTGGGGGCGTTGATTTGTTTTTGAAATGAGCTATGTGTGCATCGATGCAATAAAGGCACGTGCGTCGGGGCGGCACACAGAGGTCAGCGAGGCAGGTGGCAAAAAAGTCCTATCCCCCCCAAAAAAAAGACATAATCGGACTACAGCCCTATTGAGGGTTATTGACAGGTCGAGAGGGCTCGGGCTAGAGGTTATGAATTGGTGGGAGTGGGGGCCCTGGCCGAGAAATGACGCGCAGGTTGAAGCACGAGCCTGCACACTTTTTCATGAGGGCCCAACAGTGACGGATCCCACTGGGCTCCAGCACAACTTATGGGATGTCCATGTTCTGACCACACCGCGTGTTCAGCACCCCACATGTTGTGACGGAATCCACTGGGTTCCGACACAAATTTTGGGTCACTGGGTTCTGTCACAAATTTGGGGGCGTCCAAGTTCTGAGCACGATGCGTGTGAGGACCCAACATTTTGTGGCGGATCCCGCTACTGGACTTCGTCGTAAATTGTCCAGCCGGATTTTTTTTCACGGAAAGCCTTCCCCAAACCTGGAGACTTTTTGTGATTGGACCCACTGGGTTTCATCAAGGACCTTTAAAGATTTGTGCACTACCGAGGAGAATCCATGACTTTGTGATTACACACACTGGCCGTAATCACAAATAGGTGCTCTTGTGCAAAGATGTTTTTTTGTGACAGATTTTGCCTTTTCGGCTTCTCACGAGTGAATGAGCCACGGAGCTAGGTGCTACTCACCCGGAGCAAAATGTTGGTTCCTGCGTATTGAAAACGTACAGTAGAGTCTTATAGCATCTATTTTGAGCCTTGCGTGTTGGATCAAGCGCTCGGTAGATCAAGCAGACAGCTCAACCCCTCGCTGCACCTGCGAGTCATTTCCCAGCGAATGCCCATTAATAACATCTAGCCGAAACCCGCTCTACTTATGTTTAGAGTTTAAACCTTAATAGGGCTGTAGTCCGATCATGATTTCTGGAGGTTTTCGGATTTGGGACATGGGGTCCAAGGCCTCCCAAGGACCTCCATGGGCTTCAGGGGTTTAACTTGGGACTTAGGCTCCAAAGGACAAGGGTGCCCTCCCAGGGTCTACCAGGGCCTGCAAATTCCAAGGCCAAGGCATCAACGTGAAGGGGCCTGGCAGGCTAAAGGCCCTGCCAGGCCCTGCCAGGCCCGTGAACCTGCAGGGCCTCCTAGGCGCGCACCTGAAGATTCGGGAAATAGTAACAGGAATTGTGTACCCTTTTTTTGATGGCAAAATAGCCTTATATTTGCTTTCAGACGTTGGGGCCTCCAAGGGTCCCAGATCTCCATTTTCTTGCCTACTTCGCTACCGTTCGCAGCCAACCCAGTCAGCCCCTGTAGGCACTCGGAGGGGATACCAAGCACACAGTGTGATGTAAACGAGCCTTGCGCGTCGCCAGCTCAAGCCAATTGTAAATCGTAAACCCTAAACTCCCTAAACCTTAAGCCCCAAGCCCCAAGCCTTGCCCCTAGTTTGTGGGTTTGATGCTCCCTGCGCTAAACCGCAGGACTTTCGGGGGGGGGGGGGGGGGGGGGCGGGGCGGCGGCTTTTGTGGGGGCTCGGCTTGCGCACAGCCCGGGCCCTAGCGAACGAATCTGCTTTTCAATCTGACTCGAGTTTTGTTGCTCTGTCTTTGGACCCATGAGAGGGCTGCTTGGGAACCCGAAGCCCAAAACCCTCTACAACCCCAAACAGAAAATAAAGTCAAGGTTTACGAGGTATCGTCACTACAGTGTAGTAGCCAGTGGTGTGGCAACGTGAAAAGTCTAGTATAGTCCAGTCTGCAAAGTATAGAAATATTCAGAAATAACAACAAATATACATAGAGGAACATATAAATATAAATATTTAGATGTAAATATAATATATATATATAAATAAACGTAAATGTAAATGTAAATGTAAATGTAAATGTACATGTAAATGTAAATACATAAAGGTAAATACATAAATATAAACAAATACAAACAAATAAACACACACACATATATATATACATATATTTGTTTATTTATTTATTTATTTCTCCATACGTTTTAATTCGTACGTCGTGTATAGTGTGTGCTATTTAGTATGTAGTTTATGTAGTGCATCGTCTGTAGTATATGTCCTCTCACCGGCGGATGTTGGCTCCCTGCACATATTGGCGGGGTTCCAGGCTCGCGTGCCCAAGATGTGCAGATAGCCAATAACGGCCGGTGCCTTGAACTCAGCCTGACCCTGAACTCTCACGACCTTTATTGCATCGATGCACACATAACTCATTTCAAAAGCCCCCACTTCAGTTGGAGGCTTCGGCCCGAATTTCGCAGCAAGGCTAACCCGCCAGCCAGGAATAAGCCCCAATTTCCTGGCAGGGCTCAGCGGCCACAAGGCCGGGCCAGGTCTTGGAAGCCCGAACAAACACACTACAAACGGTCACCAGGGCGCATGCCTTGGAGCACCAAACAGGCCCTTATACCCCTGTGGCGGCTTGAGTCGTTTCGGAGGCTTGAATCGAATCACCACGCCAGTGAACTAAGCTTGCATTTGTCCAACAGGCCACCTGGTATGTTGGGCGAGGGGAGAAGTCCCAGTATGTCGATGCTGGTTTGAAGAAGCGCCGCGTGAGAGAAAGCTCGTGGGCTGAAGCCTGCAATGCAGCAATCGACAACGCCCCATCGCCGGGTTACGCTGTAATAGTTGCAGCTGACGTGCGCAAGTGGTTTGCGCTACCGACTGACCCAGCGGCATGGGGATCGACTTGCGGAGTGGAAATGGCACTTGAGCAAGTGGTCGCCCGTGTCATTGCTGCCATGAGGACCCCATGCCACTTGCAGTCATGCACATGCCCTATTGACGGTAGCACTGGAAGGCTTTCAGGCTTTGCTTTCAACGTTTGCGTTTGTCGCCAGTTCGCACGTAGCCGCGCCTTGCACCTGGGCTTGCTTGCAAGGAAATCTGGGGCAATGCTGGGCGGGGTGTACCCCAACGAGTACCGGCAGCGGGCCATGCAGCAAAGTACGCATTCCTTTTTTGCACCGTGCCTTGCCGCCGTTCGGTGTGCGCGAATCAGTTGCCTGCTTCAGGGCGTAGATGGCTTTGTAAGGTTGAAATGTGAAGTGTTTCTGGCTCCCAGTGGGCGCGCTTCAAGAAGTGCAGTGGCCCATAAACCAGACAGTCAACCAAGGGGACTCCAAATTCATCCAAATTCCAATTTCGGTGGAACCCTGGGCGTGGCAGTTCAGAGATGTTCCGGGATCAGCGCGAAGGCGCATCCAGGCTCTGTGGGCCGTTGCTTCGATGCTTCCTACTCTGCAGGAACCCCCCGCGAGTCTGGGCGAGGAGGCTGGCCGATGACCCAAGAGCCTAATTACCAACATCGGCAAGAAAAGGCAAGATGCTGTTGCCGGTGAAGGCAGCGGGAGGCGGCAAGCAGGATACCAGGACTGACCACAGAGCAGTGCTGCGACTTAGCACGGAGTAATGGAGCATGTCGACCAGACGCTCGAGAGAGTGGACAGGCATCAGGGCAACATAGGTTGCAAGAGCTGGGGAACAGGAACACACCTCCAGAGTAAGGTTCCGGACTGTGATGGCTATACCCACCGAATCTTACAAGCTTGCGGCATGCCACCGCGCGTAGGGTGGTACGCAAGTGCCGTAGTGATGGGTGCCGTAGTGTTGGGTGTGTGCCCTGCACTCGATCGGACAAGGATTTCTTCCAGCCAGGTAAATGTCGCTTCCCAAGAGATTTGTTGGCCAAAGCTCAGCAGACAAATAAGCGGCTGACACTCAACTGCACATTGCAGCTTCACGGGCCACTGCCCTTGCCTCCTCCGGGGCGACCACAGAGAACTGCTTCAGTCGTGCCTGGTTTTCTTGAATCCTTGTATTCAGTGGGGGGCAAGATTTCTAGAGGCTGCGCCTTTGAAGCCGTACATTGGTGATTCACTCTACCTACCTGCCTGCCTGCCGGCCTGCCTACCTACCTACCTACCTAGACACACCCAAAAGTCCCGAAATAACTTGGTTTGCTGCGGTTCACTGGGATTTTGTGGATGCCCAGCTGACTGAACAAGATACTAAATATGATGGTTTGCTGCGGTTCACTGCGCTTTCATGGATGCCCATGGAATAGACAAATACTAAATTGTTTGTTCTGCTTGCTTGGCAAGGAAAAGCTGCAAGGACACAGGATAGGATATGTTTCAGGACAACAATAGATCCAAAGCCTTCATAACCTCGTGGGCAGCAAGTTTACAATGCCGATGTCGGGAGGGGGTCTGGTTAAGAAACTTGCTGAACCATACAGTATGGGCTGACCCATGCTGACCCTAAACCCTTTTACCCCTGAACCCTAAAAACACAACCTAAACTGAACAGCCAGATATCGCTTGCGGTGTTTTGTCTGTTGCTTTTTGGTTGTCCTTTGTAGGTGCGGCAAATACAGTTCCCAGAGCCTCGATTTGGTCAATCAAGAAGTTGTTTTTGAACTCCTTGGGTGTATGCGGTCGCTAGGGGAAAATGGCAAGGGGATGACTTAGGTATGGCTTTCGTTTCCTGCGGTTCAATGGGGGGAAGAGCCCCAGGCATGACACAGTTTGCCTGTACATCTCCAAGGAGATCAAGTCCTGGTTGGGGCCTATGGCAAAAGCTGCATGATGCAGCACTCCAAGCGGGAAAGAGGGCTGGTGCGAGGGCTAGGGCCCCCAACGCACCTTCAACGGGTAGGGACGGCCGTTGCTTGCATATGGGTTGCGTTCCAAAATCGCGTACTTGTTACGCAAATACTGCCGCCAAAGCATCAATGTGGCGCTAGGAAGCCGCAAGGCTCATGCTAGATCATTGTCATTGCTCATGTGATCGTTGGGTACGTGCTCAAGATAAAGATCTTGTTTCTAGACTTCAGCTCAAAAGTCCGTGATTCGATCATGTGCCATTTGGGAGCTGCGTCTCCACGGATATCAAATCGCCATGTATGGGTTCTATGATTGGGATGCCACGCACCTCGAATCACTGTCGTGCAGAGGCAGTAGTGCGCGCTAGCGTCTCAACCTGTCTCAGCAGACCTTGCCCCACTTACGCACACTCAAGACCATCAGAATCTGATACACGTCAATTTCGGGACTCAAAACTGTTGTACTGTTGCCAGTGGAACGGAAACGCTGAGCGATTTGAGAAGTGGCTTGCGGGGCGTTCCCGCCACGATTCCACCAGCAGCAGTTCTTCTGACAGCTCGTCCGGCAGCAACATCTGAGAAGTTCTGGATCCCTCCCCAATCTGCAGCGCTTGCACACCGCCAGAGCTTGTCTCGCGGAAGGTGCCTTTGCTAGGGCGCCCTCGCCCACCCTGCACCACATCTCCAGTCCCCACGTTCCCTGCACATCGCCTTGTGCAAGCCGGCGACCGCTCTGTTCGCTCACTGTCGCCTCCTTTCGCACCCATAACAGTTTTTTTGGTTTCGACGGCCATCGAAAGCCCGCGTTGAACTAGACCCTCAAGGAAGAAAACAATAATCTCTTTCAGGATCTTGAAGCCAGCTTTCTCGCAGCTTCCTGACAGCTGTTGATTTCCTTCCGCTGTAGGTATACGTGGCGTTCTCAGAAGGTCCTTCTCAGAATATGTGTAGGAGCGTGCCAGACCTAGACTTGGGACACTGCAAGTTGGACGCTGAGGATCATCGGGGATTTCATGGTCGTGGATTCTCGTTGCAAGGCACGCCTCGGAGAGCAAGCTGCGCCCAAGGAAGAGCTGCAGTTCTCCACAGAGGTCATTGCCACATATGGCTTCGCATTGAGGCTGAATCATATTGTGATGCGATGCGACCACAAAGACAAATCAACTCAACGGAGGGCCAAAGACACGAAGGCTGCAAATCTTTTGAAGCGTACGTGGAAAGGTGCTTTTGTGACCACAGAGAAGGGTAGCAGTGAAGTCAAACTTCAGGGCGGCAAGCGCTTGGCCATGGCTGCAAACCCGTGCGTGGTAGATGCAATTGACCAAGTTATCGCCAATCTCCCCAGCAAGGTCTTCGGTGAGAACATCGGTCCTTTCATCAACCAAGTCAGCGCACGTGTCAAGCGCTCACGGGAGCTGAAGGAGGCTGCTTTTGCCACACCAGCCAAGTCCAAGGCCCAGAAGCGCAAGCGCCGAGCAGCAAGCCGAGGGGCAGCAGTGACGCACACGAAACGAAGCCCGGGTCGGAAAAAGGCGAGCTCATCAGGCATCACGCGGACCCCGGCTGAGATGCAAGCCCTGTGCAAGGCTTGGAAGAGGCTCAACAAAGAAGCCGCCAAATGCTGCCGGAAGGTCCGAACGGTGGTCACCAGCTTTCACCTTGTATAAGATGGCACAGCTGCAAGCTTCTCTGTATGGCAACAACTGGGCAAAATTGTCAGACTCTGCGTTGCTCTCCCACTTTCCGCTTGCATCTCTAAGTCCAGTCTTGGCCAGGGAAGGACGGGGCGAATGAGCAGCGACTTTTGTTTTTCAGGCCAAGGACATGGAGCTCAAAGTGCGGGAGGGAGCACCCTCTTCTTCAGATTCTGATGTCGGGTTCAGGGTTTAGGGCTTAGGGAAGTGCACGTCCGGACTAAAGAAAGACTTAATTATTCGGATACCCTTGTATAAAAGGAAGAGGTGATCTAAGGCATCTAAGGGTTAATAAATCTGCTTCGTTTTTCTTTATGATTGATTCGCCTATCGGGGTATCGAGATTGCATTTGTATCAAATTGAGGAGGCAGAAGATTTATATTTCTCCTATTTATAATAGAAAGAAAATCGGACATTATATGGGATGAAACGAGTCATTCAAATCAATCATATTTTAAAATAAATCTACATAGTTCGAGCAAGACGATCGGGTTCTTAGATGGATGGGGATTCTAAGGAGTTATTGGTCATTTCTCCTATGAAGATATGTTGCGAGATTTGTGATATTAGGATATGGAGATTTAGGGGGGAGAATGATGAAAAACAAAGAAAGGACCGGATAACCCCGCATGTCTATCTTTTTTCTTTGGCACGCCCTTTCGTGCTAGCAACATACGCGTTCGAACAAGCATATCGGCGAAAGTCGGAAAGTAAATCAACGCAGCGGTGCAGCAAACGGAGCGGATGCCCCAAACCCTAAATCTGAAACAGTCCTCAGCCCCTACCCCAAGCCTTAAACCCCAAAAAAAGCCCTCAGCCCAAGTCCCAAGCCCGAAACCTAAACCCTAACCCCCCTGGTCCCGGACAATTGCATTCTTCCAGCGAAGCGGCAGCCTTGGTCTGCGACTTGGAGCCCTTGGAACCCCCACCTTTGACGGGTCTGGCCGCCGAGTTCGCTTTTTGGCTGCTCTTGACTTCAGCCTTGCGAGGGTTTTAGTGTGGGGCGACTTTGCATGGTAGTCTTCTGCCAGCTCCCCAGCTCCCAAGAATCGCCCAGAACTTGGTACAGCAGTATGCAATCCCCGACAGCCCGCTCGGCGAGCTGAATCGCCTGTTCTCGCCAGAAAGCAACGGACTCTGATTCCGGCTTGCTTGTACCACGGCATTGCAAACCACAGCCTGGCCTTGCTTGGTATCCCGCTCCATCGTCCCAGTATTCTCCACGACGACCACCCACACAAATGTGTAGCTTCTCCCTCACACGTCTCAAGCACGCGAGGGACGCCAACGAATGCTGCAGCGTAACACTCGGCCACGTCAGCTCTTCGTGGTGCCGCATCATGATTTGCATCCCAATTGTGCCTTTCAACCACAAATACTAGGGGAGGTTGGATGTCGAAAACAACTGCAGCGAGGACACGATGGAACTGGTGAGCTTTCCAACTTCCACTTTCTGCAGCAGGTTCGAGGCCGTCTCTCCTCACGCTTCCACGTAGAGAACCTCGTTGACGACATCCGTCCCGGACAAGTGCATTTCGACTTTCAGCGAAGTAGCGGCAGCGTTGGTCTGCGACTTGGAGCCCTTTTTAACCCTCGCCTTTGACGGGTCTGGCCGCCGAGTTCGGTTTTTACTGGCTCTTGACTTCAGCCTTGCGAGGGTTTTAGTGGGGGGGGGGGGGGGGGCGACTTTGCGCCTCAACACCTGGGTCCAACAGGAGCCCCTGTGAGTGAGTCACTGTGTGAGTGCGTGAGCGTGTGTGTGTGCGTGAGAGAGTGTGTGTGAGTGAGTGAGCGAGTGAGTTTCTGTGAGTGTGTGTGAGTGCGTGTGAGTGTGTGTGTGAGTGTGCGCGAGTGTGTGTGAGTGTGTGTGAGTGTGTGTGTGTGTGTGTGTGTGTGAGTGTGTGAGTGTGCGAGTGTGCGAGTGTGTGAGTGTGTGAATGTGTGACTGTGTGTGTGAGTGTGAGTTTGTAATTGTTTGAGTGTGTGAGTTTGTGAATGTGTGGGTGTGTGTGTGGGTGTGTGTGTGCGTATGAGTGTGAGTTTGTGAGAGTGTGTGAGTGAGTTTCTGGAAGTGTGTGAGTGAGTATGACTGAGTGTGACTGAGTGTGAGTGAGTTTCTGTGAGTGTGACTGAGTGTGAGTGTGAGTGTGAGTGTGAGTGTGAGTGTGAGTGTGAGTGTGAGTGTGTGTGTGAGTGCGTGTGCGTGTGCGTGTGCGTGTGCGTGTGCGTGTGCGTGTGCGTGTGCGTGTGCGTGTGCGTGTGCGTGTGCGTGTGCGTGGGCGTGTGCGTGTGCGTGGGCGTGTGCGTGTGCGTGTGCGTGTGCGTGTGCGTGTGCGTGTGCGTGTGCGTGTGCGTGTGCGTGTGCGTGTGCGTGTGCGTGTGCGTGTGCGTGTGCGTGTGCGTGTGCGTGTGCGTGTGCGTGTGCGTGTG